GGGAACTTCTACAAGAATTCACCATTGCACTTCGCAATGCACACCGGGAACCTTTCACGGCATGGACACAGGGTGAGCTGGATGAGATGGTGCGACGGAAGAAAGACAAGGATTCCAGGCCCACCTACAAGACCATTGCTCGGTTCCTTCAGAAGCCCATTGAGGAAGTCAAGCAGGCATGGAAGGTCTATCAGCAACTTGAGGCTCGCGGCTAGGAACCCGGTCATCAAATGCAACAGCGACCACCGGAGGACTAAATGGTAGGCCGTGGTGGCGTATTCGGCTAGCGCTATTGATCACATGGAATTTGCTTGCTTGCACTTGACTGCCATTTTGCTAGGGAAATATTGCTTGCCGTTTTTTGGGTGTTGCCGCTGAAGTGAAGTGAATTCATGACTGAGTTGCTCAAATCATGTCGGAACAAGTCGTACAGACGTACATTACCTGGACCCATGGAGCGCAGCCGACGTGGTTACAATTTCACGGACCTGGTGCCCTACTTGACAGACCCATTCGGCAGACTACGTCACCTCCGCCCCCACCAAGTTTCCCACTGCTTCTTCCACCTCCTCCTCCTCCACCGCCACCACCACCGGTGATTCTACACCCACAGTTTATGCCCTCAGTACGGAGCCCCTCGATCTCAGCTCCTCGCGGACAATCCTGCCCTGCCACTTCGAAATCGCAGCGCACACGCCGCTCGATCTACAGCACTGACCATTCCCGTGATGAAGAGCTACGCAGTCCAGGGCGCTCATCCAAACGATCTCGGACAGCATCCGCTTCAGCACCGCGGAGATCTCGGCGGCCCTTTACAGTGTTCCCCTCCAAACGTGCTGGCCGTCCATCGCTGTCCCCATCGGCAAATTGCAAGCATTACTGTCATGCCATCCTGCGCCATGGGCGGAAATGTCTTTCCCCTTGTGATCGTAGACGACCAGGACATTACCATTGCCGGTGTGCGCGGCATCAACGGCGGTGAAGCTTAGGAGTCGTATATTACAAACCTCGCTGCTGGGTCTCACCTTGAGTTTGAAAAGTTGCCTTGCTTTCCTTCAGCTGTGTGCGGTTGTCATTGCATGTGTGTCTTCGCCGCAGATTTTCGATTGCTTTTAGCGGCCGCGCGAGAACCTGTCTTGCCGCTATGAACCCTCAATATTTCGAGTCCAGATCGACAGAGGAGTGGAATGGATTCGAATTTACTCACCGGGCACGTGGCGACCCGTTCCCGATGATGCTCCAGTGCTGGACCCACTCTACGCTTCCACGTATCGGGAGTGGCGCAGGTCATATCGCTTCCAAGTGTACTGGTCCGAAGACAGCACCGGAGGCACAACAACGGATCCCATAGTCACGCCAAGTTCCTATGTGTCCTACCACGTGTGGGAGTACCGAGACTGGCAAACACGAGGGTATCAACGACTTGGAGCTCCTTTACCAGCCATTGGACTCGCGATGCTCGTGAATGCAGACGCCAATTCCTCGGTGGGCTCATCGGTGCCGGATGGGGCGTGGCGAGAGCCGTCGCCACCACCATTCTATGATCCTTGGAACGATTCGGAGTGACACTTGAGTAGCATGTCGGATAAAATGACGCGGTTGTGCTTGCTTTGTATGCGATTCCATGTTGAGTTGTCTTGCTTGGTGTTGTGCGTTCCGTCTCCATGTGTTCACCGCTTTCCTTTATGACTTCGAGCGGCTTGCCTGGTTGAAATGTTCAATTGTACAGTGTATGGCACAGCACGATGGGTCCTGCCTCGCTACTTTGACTACGACATCGTCAATGGCCCAGCGAACACGAGTGTAGAAGGGACCAGCCCCGGATGACTCAACCACCTATCGGGAATGGCGCAAGGTCTACCACTTTGAAGTGTATTGGCCGAGGGAAAGCACAGGCGGCACCAATACAGGTGCTGTTTCGCAACCGGTATCTTATGCATCCTTCTATACTTGGCATTATAGAGACTGGGTCACCAGGGGATACCAACGTCTGGGTCGCCCACACCCTAGCATTGCGCGGCCAGTTTTCGCTTCGGGCGCACCGGACCTCATGTATGCTGGATTGACCTCTTCATCGGCATCATCCAACTCAGATGGTGGCTGATGCTCGTCCTCGCCTTCCTGGGGAGTCTGTTCAGTTCAATTCGATTCGGGAGATTGTCTTCGATACCGGAGCCGTGCATTGCTGCAAAAGTGATTTCTTGCATTGTGGCAGTTGTTTCTCTTTCAGTAATTGTTGTCTGCAGCCGTACACCTATCAATTTGTCTTACGGGTTTGCGTTGTCATGCCGTGGCTGGAATGGTGTCCGGATCCTCAACAACCAGATGCCCAGTGGGTCAAGATCTTTCATCCGGGATCATGGACTCCACATGAAGAACATGATGCTCCACCTCCACCGCACACGTATAGAGAGTGGAGGGAGTTCTATGCTCCCAACCCGGACCCAGTCGGTGAGCAGCTCAATGTCACCATGTGGTACAAAAGAGACTGGGCCACAGAGGGCTATCGGAGAGTCGCTGCCCCTCAAGCTGGTCATGACTTTGATTCTATGTGTTTTCCTGATCAGCACACCGTGGCCACGCAATCCGCGGCATTGAGTATGTCACCGCAGCTGTTAGAAGCGATCCTCAGGTCCTCGGATGCGGCGGATTTCTCTACCGAAGAACTGACTCGTCTCCAAGAGGGAATTTCTCAACAACTGACAGCTCGCGCACGTCACGCTTCCCAACCTCATCAACCAGTACGTGCATCACGTGGAATCACACCATCGGAGACGGTTGGGGTCTCCGAGCCATACCGGCCTGTTAATCCTTCCGACAGCTGCAAGGACAAGGCGAGTCCCATCTTCGAGCTAACTGAGGACTAGACGCACGCGAGTGGGGTAGTGTACAAAACAAGGGTGGTTTTCACACTTTCATTACCTTGCTTGGTTGTTGCTTGTACATGGTTGTGCATGGTGCATGTTCCTCTATCAGCTGGATCGGAGCCCGCGATACGCCTTGCCTCTTACTTCGACATGGACATCGATGATTCGAAGCAGCACCCATGGCTCGAATACTCGATCTGGCAGGATCAGGAGTGGGTGCGGATCTACACTCCAGGACAGCCTCAGCGATGGCACCGCGGAGAAACTGTACCTGATCTACCAGACAATTCTTTTCGGGAATGGCAGCGGGTGACTGATCCCGATGGGTTCACTGGTGAGCACGGTCAGGCATGGAACATCCGCGACTGGCAGCATCAGGGATACCAGCGCATTCTGTCTCAAATGGAGTCCTTCACAACTCATCATTCGCATGATCAGTCTCTTGGTCAAGTTCGGAATTCCAATGCCGTTCCAGTTGAAGAGACGTTCACCTACGCCACCCCGTTTTCTCATGGTGATCGCCAGGCTGCTTCACAACTCGCTTCAGTCCTCTATGGCGACACTCGTAATGCTCAACGTGGTGATCTCTCGTTCCCGTCTTCTGAGCGGTTTAGGGCTGTTTCTCGTTCCCCTCGCCGCGGTGGATTTTTTGGTCAACGATAGGGACACGGTTTGAGCATGTGATCTTCCTGCAGAAAAGGAGACTCCTCGCCCCTCATTGAGGGGCGTGTGTGTGCGGAGTGACAGAATGCCCTGTCACCACCCTTTCGGTTTTTCAGCAGGGGGCTTGAGGCTTCTCATCAGGACTCAGGCCAACGAAGACGCCTGATGAGAAGTGTGATGCAATCCGGGACGCTGGATGGTGTACCTGCATCGGTTGTGCAATGTCCATTTGGCCCGTTGTTTCTCTCGCTGTGTGTGCTTCATGTTGAACCTTGTAACGTTTTCGCAGCTAGACGGAAACCATGTGAATTCAAGCCGAACCTTCACCTACTCGAGACTCATCAGTTGTACTCGAGACTCATCAGTTGTACTCGAAACTCATCAGTTGTACTCGAAAGATTAGCACTCTCCATCTGGAGTTCAAGTGTGTGTGTGTCTAACAAAATTTGGAAACAATCAGTTGTTGTTGAAGGGAAAGGGTGTGGGGGAGAGTGTTTTCTGGTTTTTACGGGGTAGCTAAAAGGAACCAACCATTTCGGCGGCCCCGGCGAATCAAGAGTTGCCCTGCCCCAACGACGTCCACACCACTGGCAACGCCAAGAAGTGCATCCTTAAGGGTGGCTTAAAAGAAAACGCCTTTTGCCCCATAGGGGTAGGGGTGTTCTTTTCAGGGGATATATACATATAGGGAACCTTGATTCGGCAGCGGTTCCTGAAGGCGTTGGTCACTTGGTATCTTGAGGCAACAGTGAGCCCACACGAGAGTAGAACATCTGCATTGTCATACCCGGACCCGAAGCGGAGCCCCAAACATTTTCACCAAGCACGACGAACATGGACCATTTCTGGAGGTGTGTTGGGGGTGTCGTAGAAAAGGGCTATGATATTGAACCCCTTTGTTTTCCTTTTCAGGAGCCACTCTTCTAGCCTTGTGGGTTTTTGGGAGGCAACATTATGAATTTATGGTTCAACCGAACATTTGTTTGGTTTAAGGACAACTCAAAAAAAGGTTTTTTCTTCATTAAAACAAACTGGTCAGTGAGGTGCCTCTCTTTGCATTTCACGGTGGTTTAACGGGTAGCCCGCTGGAGTCAACCAATTTCTGCTGTCCAGACCACTCGGAGAACCCTGGCTAGAACCTACCACTCCCCAGCTCAAGCCATAGGTTCCTCTAGAAATGGTATCCTTTTTAGGTTGGTTCTACAAATGGTATCCTTTTTTAGGTTGGTTTTTGCAATTCTACCGTGTGAACCAAGTCCATGTCGCACTAGTTGGCATGAATGGATCCCATGAGTACTGGTTGACAAACCTAGCGGCTGGTGCCTGGTGATGTTTTTGTCCACAGTACGTCAACCACCCTCCACGGGGATCTTGTGGGTCTGCACGTACCATGCTCAGGGCAACCGAACGTGGAAACGCATGAAGCTCTGAGCGGGGCCCACGTCTGCAACTCACATCTCGCTCGGAAAGGAGTTGGAGCCCTTGTTCAAGCGCGCTGGGGTGCTGAAGGCGAGTGGTTCATGGTTTCAGGGGTTTGATTGGGTCGACGGGATCTATCCCAAATATTCGGATGGGGAACCCAGTTTTGGGACTCATCACCTTTCCGGTCACCTAGTTCCTAGGGTTGAAGTCGGCATCGACAAGTATGGTATGGTCCATGTGGTCCATCTGTAGGTGTCCATTCGTGGTCAAAGCGAATCGACCGTCGAACCTTTTAGTTTGCCCATTTTCGTCCATTTTCGTCATGGCCCCAAAAGGTTAACCTGTTTTTTCCGGGTCCTTTGGGCAACTGAGGAGTGTTCCAATGGTCCATGTGGTGAGTTGGAGTCATGGAATTACAACTGCAACAGCGCAACCAAAGAACATACATGGCATCCAATGATGAGTATAACGGCGTTCGGCAATTGACCGCTGCTCATGTGTCCAAGCGAGCAACAATCAGTAAGATCCTCGTGAGAGGCCATTTGGAGGGGTCTTTGTGAAAGTGCAAGGCATGCCATTTGCAAGGGACAACTACCTGTTTAAGGAATCCATTGCAATTGGCGCGGGATAGACACGGCATCCTGCCAAAAGACGATCATCGTTTTGCGGATTTCTTTCCGAAATAATTGCGGGAAAGAGGGTACGTATCAGAATTATTGTACGTATTCTTTCCACATCCATTCCTCTGGTTTTGTAAGATAAGACAGGCCCCAACATGACAAGTAGCAAACAATGACAGACTTCAAGGCACCCATGGAACAATTTGTTGCTTCTTTGAGGTTTCAATTACATTTGCTAGGGAGCTCGTTCAGGTTGATGTAAGTGGGAGGGCTCGGATCATCTTTCAAAGGGACGGCGACAATATGAACCCCGAAAACACTCACTTTATTGCTTTGTTTTTTGTTGGGGGGGTGCGATACCTCCGTGTTTTGAATTGGTGTGGGGAAGAGACCCCCAATGTCCAAAGCATCAAACCAAACCACCAATGAGGGGGAAGGCGAAAATAATTTGCAAGGGCTGCTTTTTGGTTTCACCCTCTGCAAGGGCTGCTTTTCGGTTTCACCCGCGTAGATGATAGTGATCAGGTAACCCTTAGGTGGAGAGGGTAACTGGAAAACCCCCACCACCAATCCAAACCACCACTTCGAGGGAAGCCAACCATAAATGGGTGCTGAGGTCCTATTGATTATTGGGGCGGGGGAAAATCTCTCTGTTTTATGACCCTCCCTGTAAGGGGGAACTTCACGAGCCGGGGCTAATCGCATCCTTCGCAGTTGGACGTGGAGACATGCACCAGCAAGATCCGCATCTACACGGGCGAGGATGGCAGGCGGTTTGGGTGTTTTTTCTTGAGGCCTCTCCCACAACAAAGGTGTTTTAAGGAAAGATTGTTTTGTGCTGGTGAGCGAAGATTATTCAGATGACTGTCATTTGCTCCTTTGGCTCTTGCCTGTTGACATTGATGTTTGGTTTAGAACATATACATGTATGAATTAACAGCACTACCTGCTGTAACTACAACCACACATGTAAGTAAGTAAATAGGTCAAACAAGAAATTGAAGCCAATGTACAAACAGTAAATCGATAAATACAGAATCACCCAACCCAAAGCCCAACCTAACCCAGCCCAGCCCAGCCCCACCCAGCCCAGCGCAGCCAGCCAGCCAACCGCACAAACAAACAGATAGGTAGGTGAGTAGATGGGTAGATTGGTAGATTGGTAGATAGATAAGGTAGATAGATGGATAGATGATAGGTAGTTTGGATTTGTTTCGATTAGATTAAAGATTAGAAAACACAAACATATTAAATAAGTTTAGAGTAGAGTAGATGGACAGATAGGCAGGAAGCAGACAAAAAAACCGCAATCAAAAGCACAAGTAGCCCGGTTTGATGAATATTTACCTATATACGGTACCCCCTTCCCCCCCACCCCCCAACGGACCTTACGACAAAAGCCTACACACCTATATCCATCCCCTGTGAGTTGTTACGACCTCCGCTTTCTTTGTTTCGCCTCGTGCATGAGGTGCAAGGGTGACGCTCTGGTGACCTTCGCCAACGCGGCCTCGGTGGAGCTTGCGGCCGGGTGACCGCGCGACCGTCGATCTCCCCGTGGATGGATGAGAGAGGGGGGAGATCCCGTTGTTAGCGCCTGTTTGTCCCAGGCCCAAACGGCCTCCGTGTTGTCTTGTTGGCTTTTTTTGTTGGGCCCAGAAGCTGCTCAGAAAGGGCCAAACCTGTTTCTCGACCTCTGGTTGGCCCTTTCTGTTTTTGTGGGCCCAAAACAACTGCGGACTGTTCCACGCCCAAACCTGCTTCTTGACCTCCGTTTTGCCTTTTTGGTTTTCAGGGGCCCAACAATCTGGCTGCCTGATGGGTCAAAAAGCAGGGTGGTGGGATGGGGGCAGGAGGAAGGGCTTTTTAGCTTGGGTGACCGTAAACGGGTGCTAGCAAATATTCGATCGGATGCTACAATCAAAAGGTCCGACAAACATGGGGGGAAACCACGCAAAAGATGATATTTCCCACTAAATGCGTCAAGTTGCCCATGGTCATTTGGGGGCTGAACGGAATATTGATCAACCCCCACATCTCGCGCAGGTGACCTTTCTGCACGAGTACGAGATCCGCGCCGGGTGCCGCATTTGCGTGCAGCAGGCCAGATGGAGGGCGGAAGTTTGAAAGCCTTCCAGGGCACAGAAGAAGGCCAAGAAAAGCTGTACTGTAACTCTTCTTTTTGCCAATCTAGTTTGCCAAAAGAGAAAGGAAAGCTGGTGCTGCGGGCGGTTGACATGTTCCCGGCAGGCGGATTTCGAGGAAGCCGAGAAGAAGGATGCGAAGCTATCTACCGAGAAGCTGAAGGAGCCCATGTCTCACGAACCATACAGTCCTGGGTCCTCCGTCTCCGGGTTATTTCTCTGCAGGATATTTCCAGGAGACCCTCTGAGAACTAAACAATTTTTTCAAATGCAGGAATCAAAAAGCAGACGTGGCTTGCAAAAGGCAGGAGTGAACATCAAAAACTAGGAGTGGTTCTTGGGGGAACAATTGGATTCAAGTCTTGTTGTCTTTTTTTGTTGTTTGGGCGCGCAATTGTGCAACTCTGTACACCATCACTGGAGTGGGTATTCCACTAATTTTACTACGCACACTCCGGAAACTCCGTCTTTTTTTGATTTGCGGGAGTTTGCGGGTTTTTGCGGGAGTTTGCGGGCTTTTTGCGGGTGTTTTGCGCTGAGTTTCAGGTGTGGTGCTTTCCGGTTTTGCCAATTTGTCGCCCAAAGGCAATAATTCCGCATTCAGAATGAATCTGAATTCTGAATAAATAATTCTGATTCAGGTGAACGATTCTGATTCAGGTGAATGATTCTGATTCAGAATATTTCTGAATTGGAGAGTTCCTTCCGTCAAGTACCGAATAATTGCGATTTCTAGGGGTTTCAGGTGTGCAAACCATTTCCAGAAGCGACAATCAATTTCTAGGAGTTTTACCCCAAAAACCAGGAGATTGAAAACTCTGTGTTTTTTCACTGAGACCCTCAAAAAACTGGTAGTCTCCGGATTTTACGTGAAATTTCCATGATTTGGAAGATCCAGGGAAGCCTTAAGCAGGGAACAAGGAGTTCCTCGTGCCAAGCCCGGTTGGTCGGTCGGTCGGTGGGTGGGTCGGTTGGTTGGTTTGGTCTGTGGGTTGGTGGGTCGGTGGGTCGGTGGGTCGGTGGGTCGGTGGGTCGGTGGGTCGGTGGGTCGGTGGGTCGGTGGGTCGGTGGGTCGGTGGGTCGGTGGGTCGGTGGGTCGGTGGGTGGGTGGGTGGGTGGGTGGGTGAGTGGGTGGGTGGGTGGGTTGGTTGGTTGGTTGGTTGGTTGGTGGGTGGGTGGGTGGGTGGGTGGGTGGGTGGGTCGGTCGGTCGGTCGGTCGGTCGGTCGGTCGGTCGGTGGGTCGGTCGGTCGGTCGGTCGGTCGGTCGGTCGGTCGGTTGGTTGGTTGGTTGGTTGGGGAATCCATCATTTTTGTGAGAGCAAGTGGGCGGGCTGAGGACTCCGCGAGCTACGTCTGTTTCTTGGGATTCCCCATGAGGGCTGAGAACTGCCAGCTTTCCCGGAGGTTTGGCTCATTGCTTTGGGTGTCAAGCTGGAAAAGGCTGCCCGGAGCTCAACGGCTCGCCACCCGTTCAGTGCGTGAGTTCGCCCTTTCAGCCGAACTTCCGATTTTGAGGATCCTGAACAGGGTAAGCAAAACACACTTGAAAGTGCACACCAGTCTTCCAATCGGTCATCGGTCCGTGTTCCTTTTTGCTTTATATTGTTTCCAGTCCTCCATTTTTGGCCTCTTCCTCTTGTTTTCCACATTTTGCCAGTAATTTCCAATTCCAGTTCTTCCCGTTTTCCTCAGGCCTTTCCCCGTTTTTCCCTCGGAGGTGTCCATTGGTCTCGCGCCCCTGGCTGCGGCTCGATCCGATCCGATGCGGCCCGATGCGGCAGGAGCTGGCGGCGCAGCGGAAACCGGAGGACCAGCGAGCCAAGTACCTGGCGGCCAAGAACACCCTGAAGGAGGCACGTGTCACACGTGTTGTGCGCGTGTGTTGGGCGCGTTCTGTAGGCGCGTGTTGGGGCGCGTTTTGTAGGCGCGTTTTGGGGCGCGCTTGGCGGGTGCGCGCGTTTTGGTAGGCGCGCGTTTTTTGTTTGGGCGCGCGCGCGTTTTTTTTTGTTTGGGCGGCGGGGCGCGTTTGCCTTTGCGAAACCCAGCTGAAAAAGATGGTATCCTCACAAAGCGCACAACAATACACACATCTTGGGGTATGTGGGTATGTCTGGATTTTGTTTGGGGACGGTTTGGTGGACATCTATGTGCACCATATGGAGTTTTGGACCTTGATGGGGCTTCCCGGACAGCACCCAAGCCAGCGGATTCCGGGCCCCTCTCAACCCCGTGCTTGTTTGGCGCTTTCCGGGCCCGCCAACGGTCACTTCCAGCAAGCCGAAAAGAAAAGAAACGCCTTTTCTTGTTCCTGGGGCATATGGAGGTCAGGCGCTCTGAGCTTTCAGCATTCCCTTCAGAACTCCTCCGATTCAAAACTTGGTGCCAAACGCACGATCTACCCTGGCGAGGGGAAGACTATTTATGGTAAAAGCACAATTTTCAATAGCAAATAGTTCTGTGAAAAATTCAGGCTACATAGTACGGTCCCACTCTTTTCATTTCTTACCAGTGATGTATATATTTGACACTTGGGGAAATTTGTTGGATTGTTCGATCTTCAAGAAAGAAAGAAACTCCAACAATGAAACTTTGCTTCTTGAAGATTTGCGTGGCATGTTTGTGAGCGTAGGTAATCTCCTTTCTTTGATTGACTGAGTTTAATAAGGGGTGAACATGGGACCTCTTTGAAACTTACTTCGGCATCTCGCGTTCCTCTGGGATGGGAGCCCTCCCTGCCATTATGGGTTTGTCTTGAAGAGTGGGGGACCCCCCATCCCCCACCAAACTGGTGGGTTTCCTGTTCAGCCACCCCAAAAAGGGATATCGTTCTTTTCGAACGCCAGCTGTGTTCCCCGGTTTTTTTGGTAGTTTTCTAGAAAGAACGATCCCTGGAAAGAATGGAAATGGAAGGTACCCCTAGAAAAACGAGCCCAAGGCCATACCTGTGGGTCCCCTGTTTGCTGCGACAGGCGGTGTCTTGGAGCGGCGAGATGGACGATGGCACGGGGCGCCGCATCGTGATCCTCAGGCGCGAGCTTGGCGCGGGTTCTGCCGGATGGCTAGGTCTCAAAATGGGGCCTGGTTCAAAGAGCTACTTCACTGATTCACCTCCCTTTCTACATCCCCGCAGGACGTGACTTTCCGATCAATAGATCACCAGCCATACTGTTGGCGAAGGTTTTGCGGGCAAAAGGATCACTGGCTGCCCATGCGGAGTTGCGGAGTTGCACCTGACCACCAACGACTCCCCGCTTTGGCGCGCTGCCTGGTGCTCCATTCAGCGCGCCAGGCACATGTTCTCGCCAGAAGAAGCTGAGAAGGAAGGCCTGTGAGGGACCAGTTGCCTCCATTTGCACGTGCGTTGAACTCAGCGGATCTTTCAAGAAGCGACCAAACATGAGGTGCCTTCAAATTTTGACAGATGAATGTGACCTATCGTGTCATCCTTCCAACATGGACCAAAGAAAGGCCCTGAGGCTTTGGACAGGGCGCATACCATGCTGAGCACTTTGTCGGCCGGGGCGGCCCTGGCTGCCGTCAGGCCAGCAGTTCTATGATGAGCTTGCTGAGGAGGCCATTGGCTTGCTGGCTTTCCTGGCTTTCCTGGCGCAGGGCTTCTTAAAGGATACATTTTGCCCATGTGCAGCATGGCTTTTGCCACCGGAACAAAGGGAAACCACCATTTGCAAGGCAACATGTTCAGGTGTATAATGTAAGGATCCCTGTTGCGTGCGTGCTGAGGCCTGCATGCTGGCGCGCTGGCGTGCTCGCGCGCGTTCTCTTGCTCGCTGGCTGGCTTGCGTGCGTGCGCGCGTTTGTCCTCCCTGGCTTGCTGGCTGGCTCGCTCGCTCACTCGCTCGCTTGCTTCCTTGCTTGCATGTGCTTGCGAGTTTGGTCATCATGCTCTCAGCACAGGGACTGACTGTTGGATAATTCTGTCTCAAGGCGATTGTTCAAGGTTTCCATCAGCCAGGATCAGCTGCTTTTGCATCTGGCTACTGTGTTTGGCAATGTGTCGTCAACCTTTTGCGGGGTGCGTTCACTCCCAGTTCCGTTCATGGCAACGAGTCCGTTGCCATGGATGGAGCCTTGCTTCTGAAGTCAAGTCTGAACAAGCTCTGGGATTGAGAGTATTCTGGACCTTAAAGTGAATACACTGAATACACGCAGGGAAATCCGCTTTTTTCCAATGGAAAGATGAGGCAGGACACCATTTTGCCTGGTAAACATTACACACAAGATGAAGACTTACTGAACGTGTCTTCCCTTTCGGGGGAGAAAAAATCCGCAGGGCGGCTTTGCAAGAGTTCTTGTAAGGCCTTCTCAGAGCCATGCCTTCTGGTAGACCAACCTTTTTGTGGTAAATCAGGTGTAAACTTTCCGTCAATCGGGAGTGGGTTCCCTACATCTCCCCAAGGTGAGCTTACCGCGATGTTGAAAGGGACATCTCGGCCCTGAGGTGCGTGGTACTCTGAGATGTAACCTGCGTGCCAGGTCAAGGGGGAGTGCGACAAAATCGGCCAGGCGCGCGCTTCGTGGGGGTTTTTGGTTGGGGCGCGCCTGCGCCTCCCTTTGAGCTGGGATCTGTCTTTGATTTCTCGATTGGAGCCCTCAAATGGCGCGGCGGTGTTCCTCGGGGTCTCGCTTTGAAAGCAAGAAACAAAAAGGTTACCCTCAGAACAAGGCACACCCACTTGGATGTTCGATTCGCCAAGTTAGCGAGTGGTTAGTGGGTTCTCACCTGCTTGCAACCGGCCCAACTCACTCATAAGTAGGTTAGTTATCACCTAAGTTACTAAGTACTTGCTGACTTGCCCGATCAAACAAGCGGTAAGGGAGTCCTTTGAAGGTAGAACCAGTAAGTGGGGCACCCCCAACGCAATTTCCCCCATGTCCCAAACTCGTGCAATCCATTTGAGTTTGTGAGGATCGAGACGTTTGATTCACCGACTTGATGAGGATTCCATCATCACAGGGAAAGGGACGCAGTAACGATGTCACCGACTCTAGATCCATTAAGGCTGTGATTCAAAGTTCCCTTAAACATGTGTGATTGCCCCACGGCGTCAGCTGACGCGCCTGACGTAGACTGACGGTAGCTGTTGAGTTAAGCTTCTGTACTCCATATGGATTTTGGGATAGGTTTGTTATGGGGGTTCCCTTAAACATTTGTGATTGCTCCAGAGTTATGGGGTGAATTCCCTTTCTTGTGGCTAGTTTGAGGGTTCAGGTAGGTAAATTTTCCCTGTTGAAAAGGAATGACTTGACCCGCGGGTGCAAGACGCTGGCGAGGTCACGAGGGTTACGCCCATCGAGCGCCATCTCCAGGCATTGAGGGAAGTGGCCGGGGGCGTGGATCCGTATGATGGACGCTTAGGGTCTATTTTGCAACCTTCTTCACTTAGGGTATTGGTTTGTTAGGGTTCCAGGCTGCAAAATCGCCTAAGTGTCCATGGCACCTGTGAGCGTAGGATTGCTTTGAGAGAACTGTTGCCATTTGCGTCAGGATCTCTGACTTTTAAGGACCTTTCAAGAGCGCCCTCTCTCCAAGACCAGCATCCCTTCCGAACTTCTGGCGGGTTTTTCGAACATACAAACCCAAACCTGTTCCGAATGAACCCGCCTGACCAGGGGTCCAGTTTGGACCATTCCCTTAAAGGTACTGGGCCCTTCGCCTGCAAGCTGACGGTAGAGCGGATTGCGGATGGCTTCCTGGGGTTGGTCGCTGGTTGAATTTTGCAGACCCGGTCCCAAGCACAACCCAAAGGAGTTTTGTTTTAAACGGTGAGGTGGACGGAAAAAAAATCCCTCACCAGTTGATAGGTGGTTTATCTATAAGTATTCATGGAAGTTAACAGGGAAGCACCTGAAGAGGCTGGTAGAGATGAGCCCCCACCTAAATGATGTCCACCAAAGGGCGCTTCCCCCGTGAAACTCACACCCGCATGTTCTCGTTGGTCCCAACTGTTGGGAAGTTGTCTATTTTTCTCCATGCAGAGTAGTGGAGTAAAGCCGCTTTTCCATCCAGAGTAGTGGAGTAAAACCGTTTTTGAGACACGTTTCGGTTGAAATTGCCCACCTCTTCGCACCGGACAATCGCATGCACCGCATCCACCGCATCCACCGGGTTTTCGGAAATCGATCAGGGCATCGTCTGTGTGAAGTTCAAGCTCTCCTCGGAAGCCGAGGAGTGCATCCGAGCGCCGGCGCCAGCGGTGGTGATCAAAACCGGTTTGGGATTTCCCAGGGGATTGGGTGAATTCACCGCCCATTTTAGTAGTCGATTTTAGTGGTCGGATTGGGATGTGAAAACTGGGGCTGCGATTTGGATTTTGAAAAGCCCATGGTCAGATGGGATGCTCAGGCGAGCCCATGGGTTGGATAGGCGAACCCAAAAAAGAAGCCAAGCATGTGTCGGGTACTTCAATTTCAGGCAAAATGGAGAATGAGAGAGACAAAAGAATCGAGTCACAAGCCCAGAGAGAGAAAGAGAGAGAGAGAGAGAGAAAAATGAGAGAAAGATGAGAGAAAGAAGGAGAGAGGCCTTCCATCCTTCTGCCAGTTTTATTATGAGCTCACCAGGGGGTAAAACGATCTCACCATGATGTAGGCCCTTCACCTCAGAATCTGTTCTTCCAGGTTTTGGAATGATTGCACATTTTGCACAACTCTTCACCTGGGAATCTGTTATTTCAAGTTTTAAATGGAAAGATTGTAAATATTTGCATTTTGTCACATCCTTCGCTACAGCGCCAGAAGTCTTTTGGAGTTACTGAGTCGCAGCGATCCGGATCGCCGTGAGGTCATGGACGGTCGCTTCTTCGGCGGGCGCACGGTGGAGGCGTTGAACGCGTGAAACTTTTCGAAGGTGCCCGCAATTGGGAGGGAAACACATTTTGGCGCTTGTTTTTAATGGAGACCATTTTTGTTTTTTGTAGTTTAAAGGGACACCTGTTTTGGGGTAAACTACTTTTTGTGTGGTTTAAAGGGACACCTGTTTTGGGGTAAACCATTTTTCGGGTGGTTTAAAGGGACCCCAACCAATTGTTGGGGTGTTTTTGAGGGCGACCATTTTGTTGGTGGTTTGAAGTGAAATCTGTTTTGGGGTAAACCAATTTTTGGAGTGTTTTTACAGAGATCCCAATTTTGAGGTTGTTCAACAGGAAAGTTGCTTTAACGGGAAATGGAAAGGATAGTCGCCCATTCTGGCTGGAGGTTCCCAACGAACCAGATTCCCAGGAGCTGTGTAAACAGGACACCCAATGCCAATCCGTCGTGAAAAGTCGTGAATAGCTTCTTCCCAGTTTTTGTTTTCGAATTCTGAAAGACTGGATAAATCGGAGGCTGCATGAGAGGGCCCACCAGTTAGATGGGTCCAAAGACACCCCAAAGGTGAGGATTGGGCATTCAATTGTCTGGCATCCACTGGGCGCTCTCTCCCGCATTGACCGCTCTAAATGGTGGGCTTCTTGCTTCGCTGTCCCGGAATTGACACCGCGTCTCGCGCATCTTTTTGCGGGTCTGTGCGCGGGGTCGACATTGCCGATTCCAGGACGCCTAGCCCTCATTCCCCAATTTCCGGGTGCATCTTTCGCGCAGAAGCCGCGCGCGCGGCACTGCCGGCGCCTGGCATGCTCAAGAAGCCCCGACCCACGGACCCACGTGGCACGTGCAGCCGGGAGTCTCGGGAGTCTCGGGAGTCGGAAGGCCGCCTTCTACGACGGGAAGACGGACTTGAAGGCTTTCGGAGTGAAGGATGAGCTTCCGGAGCCTCCAGGACTGCGATCCCGGGGTTTCGTTTTCGCCTCATCTGCCAGGTCGGTTTCTCCTGCGGCGGGGAATGCTCCCCATGCTGTGGATGGAGAAACTCCATTTCGCACGGCTTTGAAACCATGGGTTGGTACCTAATGTTGGTTGGTATTCGCAGGGGAATCGAATCATTCCAGGGAATCTCCTCGGTGGTGCGAAACGGATTCCGTCCATCCACAGTATTTTTTGGGGCCCACCCCCAAAACCAACCTTGGTGAGAATGTGTCGATTTGGCTTGGACTTGGATGAAAGGGCTCTCCCAGGATTGACAGACTGGGGTCAAGTATGGGTGTGGCTTAAAGTAGAGGACCAACAACATGGTTGGTTTGGCGCGGGTTTCTGCTTTTGGTTTCCCCTGTAAAACAATTCCAGCCAAATTGGTTGGGGGGGGGCACATCCCTACCAGCCAGCCCCTACCAGCCAGCCCCGCCTGGAAACTCAGGACCCGAGCGCAAGGCCGGGGGCGGGGAGTGCTGACCAGATGCGTCCGTTTCATTTGGGCTGGTGCTGTTTTGCGGAATGCCCAGGCCAAGAATGGGCGAGTTGAGGTCAAATCCCCATGTCATGCCAGGATTTTCTGCAGCTTGCCGGCAAAAAAACACACATCATGGTGTCCCGATGTCGGGCCGCTCAAACACGTGCTTTCCCTTTCATTTCTTACTAAGACAGCGATTTTAGTTATATCTTTTGACCGCGCCGCGCTGCTGTGCACGCATGCCCCTTGAGCGTCAGAGATGAATGCATCTTTTGACAGCATTTGGGTATGTCTTAAAATAGGGGAGACACCCAAGATTGTCTAGTTTCTTTTGGGTTTTCCTGTAGAAAAGGCCTGTTGCATGTGTTGCATGGGCTGGCCTCAACAAAAGAGACACCCATGCAACAGGAGCACCATGAAACAACAAGACACGCCCATCACTTTTGCCAGGTTGTGGCTTCACCGGCCCCAGTCCGGGCTGAAGCGGCTGGAGTCCGAGTCGCATGCTGCACCCCTTCTTTTGGGGTCTCAAATTGGGAGCCCCTTGGGGGAACCCTCCAAAATAGGTGGTTTCCTCGTGGTTTCTTTTTTCTTGGAGAGCTCAGTAGCGTCTGGCAGCGTATGTACGAAAACCGAACTTGAGCCACACAGTTGCACAGTCATATGAATGGATCTCTGTGCAGCAACAGCGAACAAAGCAACCCCCCCCCCCCCCTGATGCGCCCTCTGGCACCAAAAAATCTAAGCCATGGGTTGGTTCTTGACAACTTGTGTTTCTTTACAGGTATATGTTGTCCTGTAGAGCTTGATCATATCATTTCCGTTCCGCCAGGCTAGGCTGGACCATCCATGTTTGGTCAAGCTGGCGAGCCACCGGCTTGTGACCAGAATTGTAGCTCCCTTACCGAGCTTCCCCACGAGTATCAGCTCTTTAAAAATGATGTTCAACTAGCTCAGTAAGTAGGTTAAACCATGGTGAAAAGGGGACTACCCCCAGATGCCAGTTATCACCATGGTTATCATCTACTTACTATCCGAAGTGTGGCAAGCATGGGCCCTGATTCTGAGCCCAGCCCGGCCTATGCATAACTTCTCTTTGGACGAGGCTAGCGCAGGATTAGCGGATCTGGGGGCGATGAACCCTGCAAAGGCTGATCTTAACTGGAACGCAACAAGATGGTCCTTTAGGTAGCCTGGTGGTGTTTAAATGAAACAACCCATCCCCTGAATTGGATTCCCTTGAAACTCACCAAAGGGCCGGCAACAGTGAGGCTGTAGTGATGTGGGCCACTGTTTGTGATGAATAGTCCAAAGCTTTTACCCTTGCATACAAACCACACCTACCTACATACATACAGACATACATACATACATACAAGCCATACATACAAGCCATACATACAAGCCATACATACAAGCCATACATACAAGCCATGCATACAAGCCATACATACAAGCCATACATACAAGCCATACATACAAGCCATACATACAAGCCATACATACATACATACATACATACATACATACATACATACATGGATGCATGCATACATGGATGCATGCATGCATGCATGCATGCAATCAAACCATACGTACAAACCATGAATACATACATACATACATACATACATACATACATACATACATACATACATACATACATACATACATACATACATACATACATACATCCATACAACCATACATCCATACATCCATACATCCATACATCCATACATCCATACATCCATACATCCATACATCCATACAGCCATACATCCATACATCCATACATCCATACATCCATACATCCATACATCCATACATCCATACATACATATATACATACATACATACATACACGTACGTACGTACGTGCGTACATACATACATACATACATACATACATACATACATACATACATACATACATACATACATACATACATACATACATACATACATACATACATACAAGCAATACAAGCCATACAAGCCATACAAACCATACAAACCATACACACCATGGAAACCATACAAACCATACAAACCATACAGACAACAGAAACCATACAAACCATAGAATCCATACAAACCATACAAACCATACAAACCATACAAACCATACAAACCATACAAACCATACAAACCATACAAACCATACACACCATACCAACCATACAAACCATACAAACCATACATCATAGAAACCATAGAAACCATAGAAATTCTAAAATCCATACAAACCATACAAACCATACAAACCATACAATCCACACAAACCATACAAACCACACACACCACACAAACCATACAAACCATACAAACCATAGAAACCATACCAACCATACAATCCATACAAACCATACAAACCATACACACCATAGAAACCATACAAACCATACAGACAACACAAACCATACAAACCATAGAATCCATACAAACCATACAAACCATACAAACCATACACACCATACCAACCATACAAACCATACAAACCATACATCATAGAAACCATAGAAACCATAGAAATTCTAGAATCCATACAAACCATACAAACCATACAAACCATACAATCCACACAAACCATACAAACCACACACACCACACAAACCATACAAACCATACAAACCATACAATCCATACAAACACAAACCATTCAAACCATACTTCTCATACAAACCATACAAACCATACAAACCATACACACCATAGAAACCATGCAAACCATACAAACCATACAAACCATACAAACCAGACAAACTATACAAACCATACAAACCATACAAACCATACAAACCATAGTTCTCATACAAACCATACAAACCATACAACCCATACAAACCATACAAACCATACACACCATAGAAACCATAGAAACCATACAAACCATACAAACCATACATGCATACATCGGCCAAACATGAAAGAGTACACTGGGATATCTCACAGCACTGGGTCCACCCGAGGCGCCCGAGGCGCCGGAGGCGCCCCCTGCGGCACCCGAGGAGCTGGAAGCAGAGGCTCCCGAGATCCAGCAGGCGCGTGTGGCCTACTAGGGTCTAGGGCAACACATAGGGCTCTAACAATTTGGGGAGTTGTCGTTCAAAGAAAAAGAACCACAGGTGTCCGTTTTTTTTTTTTTAGGTTGGTTTGACTAGAAACAGATGGGTTCCACTGGTTTAGATGGGCTTTATTTACCAGGGCTATCAATTTTTCCAAAAGGCCACCTGTGGGAAGAACTCTATTTGACATGTTGCATGGAAAAAGGAAGAGCGGGGATTTGTCAAGCAGGAGGTTTCAACTTGAAAGCGGCGAAAGCCGTCGTGAGAGGCCTACGACGCCATGTTCGAGCACCAGTCCAGCGATGACGAGGATCTGGTGGTCCGCGGGCCCAGCGAGAGCTGCTGGGTCCATGAAGGTTGTGAGGGGTTCTGCAAATGGGTGAGGCTGCTCAAAATTGCAGACCTAGGCATACGCAGGTTATATATTGTTTCCATGTACCAAAGTACCATGTTGGGTATTGAGCCATACAAACTGCGCAGGGTGGTTTTGCCCTTGAAGCCGCTTGGATAATCAGGAAGTCGCAAAGCTTCTTTCGGTCTCTGTACTTCCCTTTTTCTTTGCTGGGTGGCTATAACATCAGGGGCGAATTCGGGATAGCGCTGGACGTGGACCAGCTGGCTGGTGCGGCTGGATCCCCAACTTGCGTGAACACTTCCGACCGTTCCGATGAACCGGCGCGTCTTGGCTTTTCTTGCTGGTCAAGATGGCCTCAAAGGTGTGAGCTTCCTTCGGAATCCCCAGTTTCCCTTTTTTCGGCTTTTGCCAAATGGCTTTTTGGCTCAAAAAGTGGAATTCCCAACATGGTTTCTTGGCAGATAGAAGCCAAGACCAAGCCCTGCGTAGCCCGGCTCTGTAATTTTCAGCCACACCCAAATGGAAAGACGGAGTCGGCGGAGCTCCGGCACAGTCGGCCGCTCCAGGTGCGCACCGAGTGAAGCCGATCTGCGCGCGGTCCAGCGAGAAAAGTCGTCGCAATTTGGCAGTCCATTGGGGGAGGCGACTCTTTCCGGCAAAAAGTTGTAGGCTTTCCAGATGATTGGCAAGCGCCTGCAAAAACCCAAGGTGCCCCTTTTAATCAAGATAACAAGCCCATGATACGGATGGCTCCACTTCCCTATCCCATATTAGGGAAGATTCGGCATTTCTTAGCCTGGGTGCATGCACGTATGGCATACACGGAGTGTCCTGGATTGGCTCTCTGAACATGTTTCGAAGATCACTCAGACTCCTGAGCCATTCTTGAGCGGGTGATAGGGCCGTCTCGACGACAACCCCCACACAGAACTGGAATTGGAGGAGGGGGCGACCCTTGGAATTCCAAGTTCCAATTTGCATTGGGTAAGTCAAGATGGGAGGGTCCGCCACCCCATCCCCCTGAATGCGCAAGCTGGGTGTACTTCAGTTACGCCTTTGGTTGATTTGAACCCCTGGAAATTGGAAGCCCCCCCTGTTTCACCTCCAAACTACCGATTCGGCTCCAAAGCAAGAGGCGCTTGCTGAGTACATTCCGCAGCTTGCTTGCCCAAGCCGCATGGACACTGCCCGAGCTGGCCATGAATACTAAGGACGCCAGTGAACAGTCCCTGGTCACTGGACTCCCGCAAAGGGAGTCAAGCGTGTAGCCATGGAAAGACCCACAGGTTGCGGAAGGCAACTGGATTCCTTGTCCAAGTCTAAAACCTGGATCTTTTGGTGGACACGTCAGTTGAACAGACTTCGATTGTCATCCCATGAACTTTAAGCCGATGAAACCACGAGCCCGCTGACTCCTCGTTCGTTCCGTGCCAATGGCGGAGCTATGGGGCAGAATAGCTCCAGGCAGATCTTGGACTATGACGACGCGGCACCTGAGCTGTGGTTTACTCGCTTTCAACGGAGCAAGATTCCCCCAGTCGTGCCTTTTTCACCAACTGTTTTTGGGTGAGAATTCCCCCACTAAAATAGACTGCAGCAAAAGGGCACCCTTATTCTAACCTCTCTACTGGAGGACCTAGTTCTTCTTGGGCTGCACGAGAACTTGGTTAAATTGAGAAAATCAGGAGGGATCCGTTATTCCGACTGAATAAAGCGGTAGGGCATCAACCGTGAAGGACTTTGGCTTGGCCAGCCATTCCAAACCCGGCGCTTGGCTCCCTGCGACTTTGGTTGAGTGGATCCCGGAAGAGAATGTGGGGTGCAACCAAAAACCCTGGGCCACCTCCCATCTGCAAGTTGGGAGGCTCCAGTACTAAACAAATGCAGGGCATGGTTGGGGCCCAAGCTGCAACATCCGCAGAGGCCCTCCGTGCTTTTCCCCGTCCTCAGGGGAACATGGATGAGCTTTCCTCTACTTGGTGGTTTGCATGGGCTCGGGGATTTGGATTGGAGGGCCATTTTTTTTAGGATTTTTTTCGTTTTTTTTTAGGAATTATTTTTGTTTTTCAGGGTGGGTGGCTTTTCGGCTTTTTGGCTTTTGTGGCTTTTACGTGGGTTTTTGTGGCTGTTGTAGCTTTTCTTTTCGCATCCTCTGCATTCACAGTTCCTCTCTTTCGCATCCTTTGCATTGCCAGTTCCGCTGGCTTTTTGGCTTTGTGGCTTGCGGCTTTCCAGGTTTGGCTTTTCGCATCCTCTGCTTTCCCAGTTGGTTTTTGGCCTGGCTTCCTGCATCCTCAGCATCGCAAGTTCCTCTCTGGTGCCCCCCGCCACCCCCCTTTCGACTAAAATACACGCCTAATTGAATCATCACTTTTTCGATCATCATGTCACAGCTGCTTTTTAGATTCTTTGGCTGCCGTTTTACAGGGATTAGTTTGCCCGTGATTGAATCCTCACTTGTGCCATGAGGCCTTGCCGCAGAGGAACTGATGACCCCCCCGCTGCTTTTTTATATATATATTTTTTTGGCCCTAATTGAATCATCACTTTTTCAATCATCGTGGGGGGGGCTGCCGCCCCCCCCCCAACCCCCCCGCTATTTTTTGGACTTTTTGCCCCTATTTGAATCATCACTTTTTCGATCATCATGCGAGCGCTACTTTTTAGGTTCTTTGCCCCTAATTGTTCGATCATCATGGGGGGGGCTGCCCCCCCCCCAACCCCCCCCGCTATGTTTTAGACTTTTTGCCCCTGATTGAATCATCACTTTTTCGATCTGCAGGGATTAGTTTGCCCGTATTTGAACCCTCACTTGTACCATGAGGCCTTGGCGCAGAGGCACTGATGCCCCCCCCGCTGCTTTTTTTTTATATATTTTTCAGCCCATTGAATCATCACTTTTTTCAATCATCATCCCCCCCGACTTTTTGCCCCTGATTGAATCATCACTTTTTCGATCATCATAGGGGGCCCCCCCCCCCCCCAACCCCCCGCGCCTTTAATTGAATCATCACTTTTTCAATCATCATGGGGCATCCTCACTTGTACCATGAGGCCTTGCCGCAGAGGAACTGATGACCCCCCGCTGCTTTTTTTATATTTTTTTGTCCCTATTTGAATCATCACTTTTTCGATCATCATGCGAGCGCTACTTTTTAGATTCTTTGCCCCTAATTGTTCGATCATCATGGGGGGGGCGCTATTTTTTAGACTTTTGCCCCTGATTGAATCATCACTTTTTCGATCTGCAGGGATTAGTTTGCCCGTATTTGAACCCTCACTTGTACCATGAGGCCCTGGCGCAGAGGCACTGATGCCCCCCCCGCGGCTTTTTTTTTAAATATTTTGTTTAGCCCATTGAATCATCACTTTTTCAATCATCGTGGGGGGGGCTGCCGCCCTCCCCAACCCCCCCGCTATTTTTTGGACTTTTTGCCCCTATTTGAATCATCACTTTTTCGATCATCATGCGACCGCTACTTTTTAGATTCTTTGCCCCTAATTGTTCGATCATCATGGGGGTGGCTGCCGCCCCCCCCCAACCCCCCCCGCTATTTTTAGACTTTTTGCCCCTGATTGAATCATCACTTTTTCGATCATCATGGGGGCGGCAGCCTTTTTTGGGGGGGGGCGGCAGCCCCCCCATGATGCCCGCCCCCATGATGATTGAAAAAGCAATGATTCAATTAAAGGTGCGGGGGTGTTGGGGCGGGCCCCCCAACCCCCCTGCGCCTTTAAAGGAAGCCTCACTTTTACCATGAGATGCGGGAAGCCAATTTGCTGGTGATGCTGGCGATGTTGGCTGGACATGCGGGGGATGTTGAAAACGATGCTGATGATGTTGACGGACGCGTAAAATACGTACATTTCGCGAGAAAATGCTGTAAATTACAGCATTTTCAGTAGCCAGGACGGAAAACAAAAAAAATCCCAAAATAAAACAAACAAAATCCCAAATTAAATCTCGACCCATTTGGATTTGGCTTTTGTAGAGGGTCAATGGGTCCCACTTCCGAACCAAAAGACCACTCCAAACCACGAGGCTGAATTGAGCATTGGCCGCAAGTTTGGAATGGCCATCGGGGGCATCACAGAAGCTCCTCCCGTGGCAGAAGTGCCAAGATCTGGAGCTCGATTGAACGCCCAACAGCTGTGTTGGGGTTTTGCTCTTTGGGTTCGGCGGGGACTCGGCGGTTTGGCCCGACATGAACCCCCGGGTGCGGCCGATCATGTTGAGACTCATCCAAGAGATGCTTGTGTGATGCCTCTGATGGCCTTTCAACTTGCGGCCAATACTCGGTTCAGCTTCCCCCAAGTGGTTTGGAGCCCGCTGGTTCGGTGCTTCGGAAGTGGTTTCCCGTTTACCCTCTATAGATGTGTTTGAATCGCAGCGCTCAACAGTGAACAGTTGAGGAAGCTCAGTGTCTTCTCTCGTGCATGATCTCTTTTGTCAATCAATGATAAAAGTTGGAGCGCCCCATGGGCGATTCGGCTTGTTTCGAGGCATATCACGGTCAAAGCGCATCCTAGAATACCATCATTTAGGGAATGCACCGGGACAAATTCACGTCACCTTATCGAGGCAACTGCCCATCCACCGTTGAGGGGCTAACCAAATGTTGTTTGAGGCACACACACACAAACGGATTTGGAGCAGCCAACACTCACTCCATCCTCTAGTCCCTCATCGACCGATCTTTGTTGTGAACACCAGAATTCCTTTTTTGTCATAGAAACCAGCTACTGTACAGGACATTCTGCAGAAAATTGGATTTCCAACTACCCACCAAAACAAGTTGGCGTGTAGAATTCTTCAGCTTGGCTGCTTTCTCGGCCGTTTTTCCTGTTCTTGCCAAAACCCATGGCCCCAAAAATCGTGTATCCCGAAACACACAGAAAATACGCGAAACAAAAAACACACAGAAATAAAAAGAACGCAAGACAACACAAACAAGTCAAAAAACAAACAAACAGTCAAACCACACAATCAAGCCAACAAGCAACAAACAACAATCAAACAAGCACAATCAAGCCAACACAAAACCAACAACCAACAACCAGCAAACAAACAAACAAACACAAACAAACAAACAAACAAACAAACAAACAAACAAACAAACAAGCAAACAAGAAAAAACAAACAAACAAACAAACAAACAAACAAACACCACAAACAAACAAACAAACAAACAAACAAACAAACAAACAAACAAACAAACAAACAAACAAACAAACAAACAAACAAACAAACAAACAAACAAACAAACAAACAAACAAACAAACAAACAAACAAACAAACAAACAAACAAACAAACAAACAAACAAACAAACAAACAAACAAACAAACAAACAAACAAACAAACAAACAAACAAACAAACAAACAAACAAACAAACAAACAAACAAACAAACAAACAAACAAACAAACAAACAAACAAACAAACAAACAAACAAACAAACAAACAAACAAACAAACAAACAAACAAACAAACAAACAAACAAACAAACAAACAAACAAACAAACAAAGACAAACAAACAAACAAACAAACAAACAAACAAACAAACAAACAAACAAACAAACAAACAAACAAACAAACAAACAAACAA